GCGCTGCTGGGGGATGCAGGCGTTGTCTGCGACAGCCTGGACTGCGGCGTGTTTTTCGAGCGCCGCAAGGCGCGGCAGGAGGCGGCCGCGATGGCGGCGCTGGCGGCGGCGGGGCTGGGGATGCTGCCGGGCGGCGGCGGGGGCGAGGGCTGAAAGGGCGAGGCCGGCGAGGCCCTGCTAGCTTTTGGGTGCAATAACCGTTTGGCCATTGCATCGCAGCCCTGAACACACGTGTGGTTTTGACTTGGTGGCACGTTTCGCAAGCTCGTGTTCCTTTGATCCTGGTGTGAAGATTTTGCAGCGCGCGCGCACGCCCTCTGTGTGCGTTTGTAATTGAGCGCATGTCGGCGGCGCAGCCACCCCCAGGGGGCTCCCGGGCCGCAGAGCGCACCCCACCGCCACTGGCCGTTCTGAGGGTGATAAAAGTTCAGGGTTGGATGCAAAACCACCACCAGCAGATGTAAGGCAGGAGGATGTCGTTCTATGCAAACTATCTGGCGTGACGTGTGTGCTAGGGGTCCAGATTGTGTGGGAACCCTGGGATGTGCGGTCTAGAGGTTGGTCTGTCATGTGTGCAGCCTGCGTGCTCCACACAGCACACGCTTTACACGTCTACCACGGCAGACCGCACCATCACTCCATTCCGCCGGCGGTGGCGACACGCAGGACGGCGCCCTCTGCCAGCTCAGCATCATCCAGCCTGTCCAGGCAATCTCCACGCCCCTTCACCCGCCTCCCCCGCACGCTCCAGAACGAGGGCGCTGTGGGTGGCATCGGCGGCGGCGGCGGCGCCGGGACCTTGCCATTTGTGTTTCCCACGCCGCCCTCGTCACGCATGCAACGTCTGTGCCCGGTCTGGCGGCACGAAAGTACGTGCTGCACTGGCTGTCGCGAGGCGGGCGTTGCAACAACCTCGAGCGCAGAGGCGTGGCGCGGGCCCTCGTGGGCGGTGGGCAGGATGCTGCAGCGGGTAGTCACTGGACGCTCGCAGAACACAGGCTCGCAGAGTGTCAAAACTCCATTTACAACTAGCATACACTCCTGGCTACTTGCAAGTACACACCCGACACCACAGGGCAAGCGGCACTTTTTGCCATTCAAGGGATATCGTATGACGGACAGTCCTGGGTATCAGGAAGCGGAATGAAGGCAAATCACACATTATTTCGTGGTTGCACATCGGTCACCCCGAAGATATTCGCAAGTGACACTGGAGATCTGACAAGACACACCTCGCTTGCGCTCTTTGTGTGGCCAGAGTAATACTACCGATAGTGGTACATTGCTAGTAGCTCCATAGCATCGATAACCACGCGCAGACGGCTCTTAGGCACGCGGTGCCCCCGCCACCATGCTGCAGTCGACCTGCACGCGGCCTTGTGGCCGTCAGGCAATCCCAGTTGCACGGCCCGTCATCCGTCAATGCCGCCTGCGCGCCGCCGTGCCGACTGCTGCGAGGTGGGCGCGCTTGATCTGCGGCGCCGCGTCAGCAGGGCAAAAAGGTGCCGGCCGCCACCTTTTGAATCCAGCTGCTCGCCCGGCCCATGCCGACCGCCCCTGATCCTTGGACCAAACCCCCAAGCCTAACAGCCGCGTGGATCGGGGCCTGCTCCGATGAAAACCCTCCACCCCCGCTGCCGCACCGCTCCCGGCGCCCGCAGCGCCTCTGGCGCCGCCCCCTGGGAGCGCCGCCGCCCCGACTACGTCCCCAACCGAATCTCCGACCCCAATTACGTCCGAATCTTCGACACCACGCTGCGCGACGGCGAGCAGTCGCCGGGCGCGAGCCTCACCAGCAAGCAGAAGCTCGGCATCGCGCGGCAGCTGGCCAGGCGCGCGATCGGCGGCGCGCTGCCCGCTGCGTCGCGCGCACGGCAGCGCCTCGCCGCACCCGTCAGGGCCGGGCAGGGGCCCATGCGAACGAAGCAGTCAGTGCGGCAGTAGCCTGTGCGCGCGACATGCTGGCGGTGCCCCCGCCCCCTTGGCTTTCTACCAGCATGAATGGCGTCGCGGTGCAGCGCCCCGATCCACCCATTTTCCAGCTCACCTGGCGCAACCGCATGATTCAATTCGCCGCCACCCGCAGGATGGGTGTTGACGTGATTGAGGCCGGCTTTCCGGTAGCTTCCCCCGATGACTTTGAGGCTGTCAAGCTCATCGCGCAGGAGGTGACTGGTCAATGACGCCGACCCATTGCTTCGCGGCGTGCACCTCTGACTAGGAGTGACCGCTCAGTAGCGGCGACTTCGCGCGCTGCTGCATCGCCGCAAGCCTCTTGCCATCTTCAAGCACAGTCATAGTTGCTGTGCTGCACCACAGGGTGCCTGCGGTGATGGTTCCAGCCGGTCAACCCCCCGGTCAAACTCCTTGGTCAAACCTCCCGCAGGTCGGCAACGCGGAGCAGGACGACGGCTACGTGCCTGTGATCTGCGGCATGGCGCGCACCAAGCTCAGCGACCTGGACCGCGCGTGGGACGCGGTGCGGCACGCGCGGCGGCCGAGGATACACACGCTGATCGCGACGAGTGAGATCCACATGAAGCACAAGCTCAGGATGACGCGCAACCAGGTGCGTGGGTGTGAGCATGCACGTGGGTGTGTGTGTGTGCGCGCGTGTGTGTGTGTGTGTGTGTGCGTGTGTGTGTGTGTGTTTGGGGGAGATCAGGGGGTTTTGTCGCGGCTAAGGTTGTGGAGGTGTCGGTCGATTGCTTATAAACAAAGGCGCGACAGAAGTTGTGCGCCACCGGTAGGCGCGCGGCCCTCGCAGTACAGCACCCCCGCCGGTGTTGGTTGCGATCGAGCGCACCAGCCCCTCACTCGGCTCACGGTTGCCGTGGCCGGTCAACCCCCGGCCGCAGGTGCTGGACACCGCGGTGTCCGCGATCAGCCACCTGCGGTCACTCGGGTGTGACGACATCGAGTTCACCGCGGAGGACGCCAGCCGGTCAGACCCCGAGTTCCTATGCCTGGTGGGTGGCTGGGCGCTCTCATCCGACACTGCTGCTGTCGAACGACGACTTGTCCGCGATCAGCTCTGATGACAGTGTAGTTGTGCAAAGGCGCTCCACCACTGCCCCAATCCCCCATCACAGCTCATGCCTCCGGCTCAACACACCCTTCGCCGCTCCCCGCCTTCCTGTCTTGATTCCGCCCGTGCCCCCTGCCCATCATCCCAACGACGCTTGGACGGCGCCCTCAAACCACATTTCAGGTGCTGGCCGAGGCCATCCGCGCGGGCGCCACCACCCTCATGATCCCTGACACTGTGGGGTACTCCATGAGCCACGAGTACTGGGACCTCTTCTCCATGCTCAAAAGGAACGTTCCCGGCATCGAGAACGTGGTGCGTGCGCGCCGCACGCGCGCGCCCCGCACGCCGCGCGGCCGACAGAGGCACGCCCCCGGGCCATTCGCCGCCGCGCCGCCGTCGCAGGCGCCGCGCGCGATTTTGGCTCTGGTGCGGTGCGCGCGACGGCTCGTCCACCGCCAGCCTTCGATCGACCCAAGCCTTACAAGCCTTGGGAGGGATGCATTGCTTGCCCTCGCCCCTCCCCAGACACAAACACCTTAAACGGACACAATCTGTGTGCTTTTGTCACAGGTTCTGTCTGCCCACTGCCACGACGACCTGGGCTGCTCAACAGCAAACAGCGTGGCCGCCGCCCTGGCAGGTGCGGCTGCGTGGGCTGGCTTTCGAAGCCGGATGCTTTCTGCGACCACGTGCGCGCTCGGGCGCGGCACGGCGCGGCGACGCGCCCGAGAAGAGGGGCAGGGACAGCACTAGGGTGGGGCGCGGGGGGACCTCGACGCCGCGGCCGCGGCGGCCTGCGCGCGCCGCTGCCGCCGCGGCGTGCCTGGCGACCCGCGTGGCTGCCGTGCCGGAAACGCGCCGCGGCCACACAAGTGCGACCGTCGGCCGTGCCGGGCCCGTTCGCATGCAGCGAAGCAGCGCGTTCCTGGCTCCGTCCGCAGGCGCGCGCCAGATCGAGTGCACCGTCAACGGCATCGGGGAGCGGGCGGGTAACGCCTCCCTGGAGGAGATCGCCATGGCCCTGAAGCTCAAGGGGTGAGATTTCTTACTTCTCTCGCACACGCACGCCTGCAGACAAGGGGAACTGGCACCTGAGGGCCGAGGGGCGGCCCCATGCGTGACAGCGGGCGGGCCGGGGCCGAGGCGCGCGCTCTGACCTCTCCCCCCAAGCACTCCCAACTCCGAAGAGTCCGCTTCACCGCCGTCCTGTCACCATCCAGCTGCTCCCCTCCCAACCCTCCCCAAGACACACACACACACACACACACACACACACACACACACACACACGCACACAC